GGTATCCAACATTTAATGCAGGATTTCAACTACTAAAATTTTCCGAATTCATGACTCAAAGTCAAAACACTCAAATTTCCTATCTAATTAAATATTAGATGGAAAACTTTAAATTGTTGATGTTGAAAGAAAATCTTAATACACATGATTCACTCACAATTACTCTCCATCCTGCTTTTTCACTTCACTTTCTTTCGCTTGAATCAGTTACTCTACTCAAATCAATTAAAGCCAACCAAAACAAACGACTAAAACGTTGAATTAAAGTAATGGAACAGTAATCACTAAAATAGAAATCAAAGTACATATTAATTAAAAAGAACCCGTATGACTAGAAGTTCCTTCAATGTTGCATTAGATTTTTTGCTGAAACCTCTTAAATCTTATTAATATCTTAGCTAGCACTGGACAACTTTTTCTATAGGTAGAACCTCACATTTGCACAGCAAATAAAAAACATTAACATAAACAGTTTATAATTAACATATTTATAAAAATATGTCAAAACTTATATAACTATAACAATATAATGTAATGTATTCCATAACTACGGCTGAAATTCGTAGTGAAATTATTGTTTATTCCACTATTTCCTTTTCTAGCTACATTGGCACACTCTCAAATTTTGGCATAAATTTATTTTTAGCTCCTCATCTTGTCAACTTTAAAAAATCTTACACTATAACATTTTTAACTCTTCACCTTACTAGATTTGTAGGTTTTAACTCCTCATATATTAAATTCAAAGAAAATAGCTCTCACTTTATCCTGACTGTTAACTCTATTAATTGAAAGTATATTTTTATCAACTAATGTCAACTAATAATCAATTAACAAAATTAATAAAATATTATAAAATTAATTCTGTTAACTTTGTTAACTAAAAAAAGATTTTCGACAGTTAACAGTCAACTAATAGTCAGCTAATAAAGTTAACAATCAGTTAACAAAACTAATAAAATGTTACAAAATAAGAGTTATTTTCTTTAATTTTAATAAGTGAGAGACTCAAAGTATTATAGTATAAAGTGAAGAGTTTAAATCTACAAATCTAGTAAAATAAGAAATTAAAAATATTATAATATAAAATAAAAAATTAAAACTTTTAAACTTAATAAGGTGAAAAACTAAAAATAAGTTTTTTCCCCGCAAATTTCCTAAGCGGTCTCCCAATTCAGATGGTGGAACTATTTTCCAAAAAAGAAAAAAAGAAAAAAAAAGGGAAATCAGATGGTAGGACGTTTTTGGTACAATTTCATTTGTAAACAATTAATGCCAATTCAACACACCTTCAAAAATAAAAAATTGGGTAAAAAATTACGTCCAAATGGGTGACTTTATAACGAGTTAAAATTATAGTACAGTCATTAACATACATTTTAATCTATATATATAAAATGTTACCTTATGTATTAAATAGGGTATATATTTATATATATTTAATATATAATAATATAATGATATATTTATTTATTATTTATTATTTAATTATTATATATAATCATTAATTAATAAACTATTCATTTTTTTTCCTCCTAAGTTACACTATTATGAATTAAATTATTATTTATGTTAAGGTTTATGTTTATCCTCAATAATATAACTATTGTTTTTAATTGTTTTAAAACTTAATGTAAAGAAAGTAAAGAAACTTAATTGTTTTTAAGTTACACTCTTGTATTCGAACAAATCCCTTCCTTCATCCCCACAACACAACTACGCACACAAGATTAAGGGAGGCAAGAGAGAGATATATCAATTACCCTCCCTCCTCAACTATTAACCGAAACAAAATAAACATCTAAAATGTCGAGTGACTAAATCAATGGATCCCCACATCGGCTTAATGCTGGGACGGATGCAGGGAATGGCTAGCAACGTGAGGTACAGTGTGTGAGTGTGAATGTGAACGTTTTTGGTTTGTTATTTGTGGTGTAAGTAGGTGTATCTTTCTAGCATCAAGAGTTAAATTCATTGGATTTAATAGTAATTATTATTTTATAAATTAGATTTAATTTTACTCTTTTTGATTCGAAATAATTGTTGTTATTTAATTTTAAACTTATTTCAAATTAATTTTCATTTTTTTAAATAGATAAATATTTTATTTCTATTTTAATTTTATTATTATCTATTTATTTTAATTAATTATTCTATTACAAAAATTTTATTTTATCTTTTAACTTTTTCCTAAATAAATACATGAATTGTTTCAAATCTTTAATTTAAAAAATCAAAAAATAACAATTATTTTCAAATAAAAAGAGTAAATTTTTTTATTTTAATTGTACAATGTAAAATAATTTTTTATTATCCTTTATTTTATTCTATCTACACATCATACGATTTATATTTATAATCTCTTACTTTAAAAAAATATTATCAAATTATTTAAATAATTAATTAGAGAGAGCAAATTTTAAGTAATACTTAGAGGAATTAATTTTTTAAATATATCAAATTATAAGAATTTGTTTTTAAAATTGTTTAAAAATTTAATTTTAAAATATACGAAAACTTACTTAAAAATTCCTAAGCATCTAACGAAAAAGAGTTGATGTATCTTCTGAAAAATGCCGTGCTAGTAATTATTAGGACGTACAAAAAGCAAGTTATTC